CCTCTTAAAAGTTCATTTTTTGAATTTTAAAGCCAAGCAGTTGTGTTGTGACAAGGTAGGGGGCGTATACAGAAGATAGCCCTATTTGGCAAAGAGAAAAGACAGTCCATCGTTACTTTAAGACATGAAGGTCAGTCAATACGGACAATTTCAAGATCTTTGAAAGTTTCTTAAAGTGCAGTTGCAAAAACCATCAAGCGCTATGATGAAACTGGCTCTCATGAGAACCGCCACAGGAATGGAAGACCCAGAGTTACCTCTGCTGCAGAGGATAAGTTCATTAGAGTTACCAGCCTCAGGAATTGCAGCCCAAATAAATGCTTCACAGAGTTCAAGTAACAGACACATCTCAACATCAACTGTTCAGAGGAGACTGTGTGAATCAGGCCTTCATGGTCGAATTGCTGCAAAATAAACACTACTAAAGGACACCAATAATAAGAAGAGACTTGCTTGGGCCAAGAAACATGCGCAATGGACATTAGAACGATGGAAATGTGTCCTTTGGTCTGGAGTCCAAATTTGAGATTTTTGGTTCCAACCACCGTGTCTTTGTGAGACGCGTGTGGGTGAACGGATTATCTCTGCATATGTAATTTCCCACCATAAAGCATGGAGAAGGAGGTGTTATGGTGTAGGGTTGCTTTGCTGGTGACACTGTCTGTGATTTATTTAGAATTCAAGGCACACTTAACCAGCATGGCTACCGCAGCATTCTGCAGCGATACGCCATCCCATCTGGTTTGGGCTTAGTGGGACTATCATTTGTTTTTCAACAGGACAATGACCCAACACACCTCCATGCCAATTGAGATGGTTTGGGATGAGTCGGACCACAGAGTGAAGGAAAAGCTGCCAACAAGTGCTCAGCATATGTGGGAACTCCTTCAAGACTGTTGGAAAAGCGTTCCAGGTGAAGCTTGTTGAGAGAATGCCAAGAGTGTGCAAAGCTGTCATCAAGGCAAAGGGTGGCTATTTGAAGAATCTAAAATATATTTTGATTTTTTTCAACACTTTTTTGGTTACTACATGATTCCATATGTGTTATTTTGGGATAAGTCGGACCGCAGAGTGAAGGAAAAGCTGCCAACAAGTGCTCAGCAAATGTGGGAACTCCTTCAAGACTGTTGGAAAAGTGTTCCAGGTGAAGCTTGTTGAGAGAATGCCAAGAGTGTGCAAAGCTGTCATCAAGTCAAAGGGTGGCTATTTGAAGAATCTAAAATATATTTTGATTTGTTTAACACTTTTTTGGTTACTACATGATTCCATATGTGTTATTTCATAGTTTTGATGTCTTCACTATTATTCTACAATGTAAAAAATAGTACAATTAAAGAAAAACCCTGGAATGAGTAGGTGTGTCCAAAAAAGAGGCTATGGCACTTCAGAAAAAAACTTTTTTTAAATACAATGCACATTTTCATTGCTTGCTAGTAAATGAATACATTGGTGTTCTTTTAAGAAAGCTTGGATGTGTCTGACTATTCAATAATTATTCAACAGCAGTCGACAAGGTTGTTCTGGCTCTGAGGCCTATAATGCGCTAATGTTGTGTCAAATAGACAATGCGCCAATCCTCTCCAAACTGGCATGGTTTAATTTGATACAGAATATTTTCTTAATTTATAGACTAATCAACGCTGATCAGGCCTGGTCCTGGCTCATATGCCTCCCTAGGCGAGACCCAAAAAAAGTCCGCCCTCCTATCCCCGCAAAGTAGAATAGTAGCCTAGGCCAGTGTCGGCCCGCAAAGCATTTTATGAATGCCCATGTGGTAACCTACCGTTTATAAAACAGGCAATTTACCGCTAATCCCTGTCATTTGGTTACATACATTTCTGTTAAAACATGTATTAATTACAGTAATTTACCATTCTCATTCTCGGAGTGGAAACATTGGTTGCAGAGTTCACAACCTACTACACTTGTGAGAAACAAGTTTGGGTTTATTTCATACCATCATTTACGCGCTCCATGTGAGCAATGAGCATGTGTCTGGTTTCTCTGTCCTGTTAATGTGGAGCGCGCACGCCTGAGAACGCATAGAAGTACCTGCTTCTCGCCTGCTTCTCGCAAATGTCAAATGTAGGAAAGTGCCCAGCTGGGCTTATCAGTCATTTTATCAGTCAACAAAGTCTTTATGTTTTATTTTTTTACAGCCATTCAATTCATAATATTTCTTCACAGTATTTGATAATCCTCTCCCCCTCGATAATCAGCGTCTCTGATAGGCTATGGATGTTGCGTGTATTTGTTTCTATTTTAATGATTGTTAATTTAATTTTCATACTATAGCATAGCATTCCTTGTCAATTCATTATCTTATAGTCTATTTTCAGAAAGCCTAAGGTAGGCCTAGGTTTTTTAACATGTTTTAAGGAAAGGAGAAATATTTGCTCTATCTATAGGCATATACAGTGGGGGAAAAAAGTATTTAGTCAGCCACCAATTGTGCATTTTCATCATAGGTACACGTCAACTATGACAGACAAAATGAGAAAAAAGAATCCAGAAAATCACATTGTAGGATTTTTAATGAATTTATTTGCAAATTATGGTGGAAAATAAGTATTTGGTCAATAACAAAAATGTCTCAATACTTTGTTATATACCCTTTGTTGGTCAAACGTTTTCTGTAAGTCTTCACAAGGTTTTCACCCACTGTTGCTGGTATTTTGGCCCATTCCTCCATGCAGATCTCCTCTAGAGTAGTGATGTTTTGGGGCTGTCGCTGGGCAACACAGACTTTCTACTCCCTCCAAATATTTTCTATGGGGTTGAGATCTGGAGACTGGCTAGGCCACTCCAGGACCTTGAAATGCTTCTTACGAAGCCACTCCTTCGTTGCCCGGGCGGTGTGTTTGGGATCATTGTCATGCTGAAAGACCCAGCCACGTTTCATCTTCAATGCCCTTGCTGATGGAAGGAGGGTTTCACTCAAAATCTCACGATACATAGCCCCATTCATTCTTTCCTTTACACGGATAAGTCGTCCTGGTCCCTTTGCAGAAAAACAGCCCCAAAGCATGATGTTTCCACCCCCATGCTTCACAGTAGGTATGGTGTTCTTTGGATGCAACTCAGCATTCTTTATCCTCCAAACACGACGAGTTGAGTTTTTACCAAAAAGTTCTATTTTGGTTTCATCTGACCATATGACATTCTCCCAATCCTCTTCTGGATCATCCAAATGCACTCTAGCAAACTTCAGACGGGCCTGGACTTGTACTGGCTTAAGCAGGGGGACACGTCTGGCACTGCAGGATTTGAGTCTCTGGCGGCGTAGTGTATTACTGATGGTAGGCTTTGTTACTTTGGTCCCAGCTCTCTGCAGGTCATTCACTAGGTCCCCCCGTGTGGTTCTGGGATTTTTGCTCACCGTTCTTGTGATCATTTTGACCCCACGGGGTGAGATCTTGAGTGGAGCCCCAGATCGAGGGAGATTATCAGTGGTCTTGTATGTCTTCCATTTCCTAATAATTGCTCCCACAGTTGATTTCTTCAAACCAAGCTGCTTACCTATTGCAGATTCAGTCTTCCCAGCCTGGTGCAGGTCTACCATTTTGTTTCTGGTGTCCTTTGACAGCTCTTTGGTCTTGGCCATAGTGGAGTTTGGAGTGTGACTGTTTGAGGTTGTGGACAGGTGTCTTTTATACTGATAACAAGTTCAAACAGGTGAAATTAATACAGGTAACGAGTGGAGGACAAAGGAGCCTCTTAAAGAAGAAGTTACAGGTCTGTGAGAGCCAGAAATCTTGCTTGTTTGTAGGTGACCAAATACTTATTTCCCACCATAATTTGCAAATAAATTCATTAAAAATCCTACAATGCGATTTTCTGCAAAAAAAAATCTCAATTTGTCTGTCATAGTTGACGTGTACCTATGATGAAAATTACAGGCCTCTCTCATCTTTTTAAGTGGGAGAACATGCACAATTGGTGGCTGACTAAATACTTTTTTTCCCCACTGTATGTCCATTCAGAAAGTTTCCTAAAGTAGCCTGCCTGGACTCCATCTCTTTAATAAGAATAAAATGCTCCTTTCATGATTTAATCTTGTAAAAGGCCTATTTTCAGGAGCTTAGGCTACATTATTTATTTCATTAAATTGCCCTCTCTTTGAAGAACATATTCCAATGCCATTGAATGACCGCAGCAGCAGGGTTTGTGACAATAATAATGCTAATAATAATAATGTAATAATAATGAAATGCCATGATAATAACAAAGTGTAATGGCTTGTTCACATTTTTATTAAGAAGCATATCTATGTAAACAAGTGTACAAACAGAATTGTGACCTCCCCTTTTTTGATCCCCCCCTACCAACAGTATTGGGTGAGAGACCATTTGAGAGGACAGCTGTGTGTGAGACTGTTTATCAGTCTAGGACAGTGTGTGTGTGTGCGTGCATGTGCACGCCTATCCGTGCTTGTGTTAGCTAGAGGAGAAGAGTCTGATACTCTCACCGTTCAATCTGTTTCAGCTACATAACCATAATAGCCATTTTCATCTCTCTCCCAAATTACCCTCTCATCCTCAGCTCCTCCCTCTGTTTCCCTGGGGTCTTGCCTGCCTGCCTGGGTATTTACATCATGTGGTGTCATAGTACTGGGGCTTAATGCTTTAAATTCTCTGGATTCTATTACAAAAGGTTTTGAGTGCATGCTAGAGCTGTTGTATCGGGTGTGTTTGGTCACGCTAAGTGCAGTTCGTTTGAGGACGGGTCAGTCAGAAACATCAGAGGAACACTGTGTAGATCGCATAGATCTCTCTCAATGTAGAGCAGGAGTACTTGTGGAATTTACTATTGAACGATTGTCTCCAATTAAGCATTGTCTATTTTCTGCATAAGCATTGATCATCTTGTCCTGAACCTTTCCCTATATGCTATACAGCGCACTTCCTGTAAGAATCTAACTTATGCAATCAAGTTATAAGAATCAAGAATCAACAAAGTTATATCTAATTTATTTGTATGGACTGTATGTTGATTGACAGGCGCTGGGCGGGTCCCAGGTGAAGCTGTCTGACGGCTCAGTGAAAACGGTAACCACGTCGACAGCAGCCCACCTGTCCAAGCCGGCCACGACCATGCTCAGGATGACGGGCGGAGTCATCACAGCCGCTAGTCAACCGGTGAGTGGGAGGAGTTTGGAGTATTTGGGGTAGCCTCCCCAAATAGACCCTGTATCAGAACTAGATTATCTGGTCCTTTATGGAACCAAGAAGCCTCTCTTCCGTGCCTGATCCCCATTTTGGAACTCCACTCTTCCAGAACTGTTAATTAGAATGTCAGCATCTTGCCAGAGAAATGTGTTCCTTTGTTTCAGCTAGAACTCCCTAAACCCACTGGCTTAGCTTGAGCAGTCTGCCTTAATTAGAATGAATGGGATTTATCAGTGGAGCTGCAGAAGGGGAACACAGGGCGGTGGACCCTAACATATTATGAAAAGAGTTATAAAACTAGAAAGGTGTAGTACCCGTAGTTTGTATCATTCTTTCTCTCTAAGAAAGTTTTTTTGGTCATTTATTTCATACACAGACTGAAACCATGTGGTGATGTTTAGGGCAGTAAAACTATGTGAATTTGTCTGTTTGTGTCTGTGTGAGTACATCTTCACGAAGGCCAGCTGTTTGTGGTTGTTTGGTTCCAGCTAGCGGAGGTGTCCGGTCAGGCCAAACCTGTATCCCACTCTGTCCTGGTGGCAGCCAACCAGGCAGCAGTCATCAACGCCGCAAAGAATGCCAGCGCTGCTACCGCCATTACCATGGCAAGGAACACCACGGCTGCCGTTACCATGGCAAAGAAAGCCACGGCAAACGCCGTTACCATTGCAAAGAGCGCCACCGGTTTGGTAACCATGCAGAAGGGCGCCACGGCGCCAACTGTCACCTTGGCAAAGGGTCCCAACACCTCTACCACTGTTGTTACCGTTACTAAGAGCGTTACAAACATGCACGTCATCAGCATGGCCAAAGGGGCGGGTTCTATGGTTGTGGGTGTGCCCAAGAGCGCCAGCACGACATTGGTCAGTGCGGCATCGCTGGTCAGCGGGATGGCAGCAGGGGGAGGAAAGACAGCTGCTACTCTATCAGGTAGGAAGAGAATACCTCTTATGTTGTTTGAGAAAGTGGATTGCTGCTATTTTGGGACAGGTCTAAAAAAAATATCTGTGGGATCACCTGTATAAGTAAAGCATCGATTTAGAATAAATAGATCATGTAAGTGGCCAAATGCCCCATCCAGGCTAAGAGTTGTCTCCTGTGCTCTGGTCTTGTCCAGGTATGCTGAAGATCCACTCTGGCGGGTCCAGCTCCCAGCAGACAGTGCTGGCCATACCAGCCAACCAGCCCAAACAGCTGGGGGTGGGCACTGGCACAGGAGGGGTACAGACCGTACACATGCCCGTCAACAAAGGTAAGAGTCAGTCAGTCCATCCATGGTAAATTATTCCAAAATCTATCAATCCATCAGACAATCCAGTGTTTTTCCTGACATATATTTTTCAGACAGTGACACAAAGGCCCTCAAGGCATATGACTATTCTCCAGAGTAGCTGACATCCTACCATTATATTGAAATCAATAGAAAACCAGGTAGACAGACTTTCGCAGTACCCCCTGAGGACTGGTGAGCAGAAGTCTGTGCTGTGGGATTCTACCTATTCCCCAGATGTGAGCTGGGACTGGGAGACTGAGAGATGCGCTTCGGTGGGCTGGGGATTGAGTTAGTGCAGCTAGAGAGAGAGGGGGAGCAGGGGTGTTGCAATATTAAAACTCCTCACACACAGACACACACACACACACACACAGTGCACCTGGGTTTTAAAGTAACTGGCTCGCACACAGTGTACTGAGGAGGAAGTCTAGGCACCAGCTGAGCCCCAGGCCTACATGTGTGAATATAGAGGTTTTGGTGCCTAGTCATGAGGGCCTGAAAAGCAGTCACCTTCACCGCTAAAGTCACTGCTTTATTCATTATACATTCAATATTCATGTGTGGGTTTGTTCTTGTTGTCCCCTCCTGTGTGTGTGTGTGTGTGTGTGTGTGTGTGTGTGTGTGTGTGTGTGTGTGTGTGTGTGTGTGTGTGTGTGTGTGTGTGTGTGTGTGTGTGTGTGTGTGTGTGTTTGTGCGCGCACGCGCATAGTAGTAGTCCAGTCCAGCAGTGTGTCTAAAGGACCAGCTCCCAGTAGTAGCTCCACTCCCTCCCCTGGAGCAGGAGTGGCTGCAGCTGGAGTCTCCCCCAGTCCTGGAGCTGCTACCCAGGCCTCGCCTTCCCCCTCCCTCACCCTGCCTCTGGCCCAAGGTGAGAGGAGCACCCCTCGCCTCGCTCTGTCTTTCCTCTCCTTCAACATCCTCCTGTCCCTCCTTCATTCCTCTCTTTTGGTGGCCCTCCCTTAAGGCATCAGCATACTTCAGTTCGGCTGGTGCCTATCCGAGCTCAGCGAGGCGAACCAAACAAGTTTTCTCGCATACTCCCTTAAAAGACCTTCGCTTGAAAAAATTAGAAAAAAGCAGCAATACTACTGTTTTTTCCATTTTGAGACGCCGTAGCCAGTATACACTTCCCCCCAAATAGTTAGAATTAATCTAAGATAACTCAAGAAATCTGTCATTAATTTTTATGTTTTTGCCAAGGAGATCTTAGTCGCGCAATTTTGCATCTGACTAGGATGCAGTATCTTTCAAGTGAAGAAATGTGTATGCGAGCGAGTCGTCTCGTTGAATGACAACAGGCAATTACTTCATTGACGAATCCCTACTGTTGACCAATCGCCAATGAGGGGTCGTTGTAGACTTCGGCTACCGAAAATAAATGGTGTGCCCAAACAGCTGAAAAAACCCTTGCCAAAGTCCAAAACAAACAAAAACGTCACAGAATGTCAGCATAATATACAGTACCAGTCAAAAGTTTGGACACAGCTACTCATTAAAGGGTTTTTCTTTATTTTTACTATTTTCTGCATTGTAGAATAACACATATGGAATCATGTAGTAACCAAAAAAGTGTTAAACAAATCGAAATATATTTGAGATTTGAGATTCTTCAAAGTAGCCACCCTTTGCCTTGATGACAGCTTTGCACACTCTTGGCATTCTCTCAGCCAGCTTCTTGAGGAATGCTTTTCCAACAGTCTTGAAGGAGTTCCCACATATGCTGAGCACTTGGTGGCTGCTTTTCCTTCACTCTGCTGGTCAAAACTCATCCCAAACCATCTCAATTGGGTTGAGGTCGGGTGATTGTGGAGGCCAGGTCATCTGATGCAGCACTCCATCACTCTCCTTCTTGGTAAAATAGCCCTTACACATCATGGAGGTGTGTTGGGTCATTGTCCTGTTGAAATACAAATGATAGTCCCACTAAGCGCAAACCAGATGGGATGGCGTATCGCTGCAGAATGCTGTGGTAGCCATGCTGGTTAAGTGTGCCTTGAATTCTAAATAAATCACTGACAGTGTCACCAGCAAAGCACCCCCACACCATCACACCTCCTCCTCCATGCTTCACGGTGGGAATCACACATGCGGAGATCATCCGTTCACCTACTCTGCATCTCACAAAGACGCGGCAGTTGGAACCAAAAATCTCAAATTTGGACTCATCAGACCAAAGGACAGATTTCCACCGGTCTAATGTCCATTGCTCGTGTTTCTTGGCCCAAGCAAGTCTCTTCTTCTTATTGGTGTCCTTTAGTAGTGGTTTCTTTGCAGAAATTCGACCATGAAGGCCTGATTCACGCTGTCTCCTCTGAACAGTTGATGTTGAGATGTGTCTGTTACTTGAACTCTTTGAAGCATTTATTTGGGCTGCAATTTCTGAGGCTGGTAACTCTAATGAACTTATCCTCTGCAGCAGAGGTAACTCTGGGTCTTCCTTTGCTGTTGCGGTCCTAATGAGAGCCAGTTTCATCATAGCGCTTGATGGTTTTTGCGACTGCACTTGAAGAAACTTTCGAAGTTCTTGAAATGTTCCGTATTGACTAACCTTCATGTCTTAAAGTAATGATGGACTGTCGTTTCTCTTTGCTTATTTGAGCATTTCTTGCCATAATATGGACTTGGTCTTTTACCAAATAGGGCTATCTGCTGTATACCACCCCTACCTTGTCACAACACAACTGATTGGCTCAAACGCATTAAAAAGGAAAGAAATTACACAAATTAACTTTTAACAAGGCACACCAGTTAATTGAAATGCATTCCAGGTAACTACCACATGAAGCTGGTTGAGAGAATGCCAAGAGTGAGCAAAGCTGTCATCAAGGCAAAGGGTGGCTACTTGTTTAACACTTTTTGGGTTACTACATGATTTCATATGTGTTATTTCATAGTTTTGATGTCTTCACTTATTCTACAATGTAGAAAATAGTAAAAATAAGAAAAATCCTTGAATGAGTAGATGTGTCCAAACTTTGACTGGTACTGTATGCACGAGCTGTTCTGAACTGTTTCGGCTGGGAAGCGTGCGGACGCCTTTAGCCTTCCTTTCTCTTTCCACTCAATGCATTCAGCTCCCCATCTCTCCTTTTCACCTCACGTTTCTACCACTTAACAATTCCTCCATCTTTTTATATTTCCACCCTCAACCCCTCTCTTCTACTCTCTCCCCCTTCTTCCTCTCCCCCTTCTTTCCTCACACCCCGGTCCTTGCAAAGGTTGTCTTGTCTTGTTTGTATTTTGAGCCCCATCTCGTACTCTGTATCTCCCGTCTCCTCTACAGTGAAGACAGAGCCAGGAGTCTCTACACCCGTCTCTGCTACACATGCCCCTTCGCCCCCTGTAACAGCCCCTGTCGCCTCCTCCACCCCTGTAGCTGCCCCTCCCACTGCGTTCGCCTCAGTCAAACTGGAGCAGGGGGCCGACACCAGCTCACACCACCACATCGAGGTCATCAAGTAAGGACAACTCGGATACAATATGAGTTATTACAAAGGGGTCCCAAGAGAACCTGTACTAAGCTCATACAACATCAGTTACACTATGAAAGGCATTGGCTAACATGTAAGGACTACTTAGATATATCTCAGACAAAACATTATATGCCATGAAAAGGACCGGCTATTTGCGAACAACAAAGCACCAAGCCATTAGCATAGCAGCAGTAGGATAGTTCTATACCGCAGAAGCAAATTGGGCTATTGGATATGGATGGTTTTGGCACTACACTCAGATCTATAGGTTTGCTGAGAGTCTGTTGGGGGTCTTGTGTGTGATAATGTGTTTGTGATGTGTGTTTGTGCCTCTCTTGGCTCCTCAGCACGGAACACATACAGACCCTCATGCAGCTGCTCACCGCCGTGGTGAAGAAATCCCCCCTCATCGTACCAGAGAAGAGTAAGCTCCCTTCTACATTCTACTCTTTACATCCATTCTTAGACAAGTTGCCATATAAATAAAGCTTGAATGAGACGGATGGGATGTTAAATGGGTGTCCTGACGCTCTGTGGTCATTAAAAATCCCATGGCACTTATCGCAAGTCTAGGGGTGTTAACCCTGGTGTTCTGGCAAACATTCCCAACCTAGGGTCATTTCCATAATGGCCACCTAATCATCCCTCTCATTCTTAATTGGCATATCATTCCTCACCTTTCCACCATGCTAGCTGATGTGTGGTGAGCGTTCTGGCACATACTGGTTGCCGTGCGTCACCCAAGTGGGTGCCACACATTGGTGGTGGATGAGGTGAGTTTCCCCCTTACTATGTAAAGCGATTTGAGTGCCTTAGTTGGTAGAAAGGCGCTATATAAATCCAATCTATTATTATTATTATGTAGACACTGTGTTGTGTGTTGTATGATTCATCTTGTGTTGTATTGTTTAGCCGAGGACTCCCATCCGTTCTGTGCAGTGTCTACTGAGCAGTATTACTCCTGGAACATTGGGAAACGCAGGGCAGCAGAGGTAAGATTGTTTGTTTGTGTTGTTGGCTGTGTGTTTGTTAGTCTGGCTGTGTACAACGTGTAAACAAGTCAGAGTTCGTTTGTGTGTGTTTACACAAGACTTTGACTCTGCATATTTTCTGCTTACCTCATGTCTCCCTGTCCAGTCAGATGCTTCTCTCTCTGTATGTTTCCCCAGTTATCATCCTCCTCTTTCATCTCTACAAAATACACACACACACACACACACACATACTTTTACCCAAGCTGCTGCCTAGAGCCTCTGTAGACCCATAATATCTGTGGAGGCAGTCTAGACTGGTTTTCTACCCGAGGCTGACTACTGACTGTGTTATGGTAACTTCTATGAACTCATAAAGGACGTTCAGAGGAAATGATGCCGAAGACACCCCCTGGAGAGGGTTGGCCCTGTGCTGTCTAGCTAAAATCCAATCAGTTAAAATCCTCTGTTTACTCCATATCAACAGACTCCATGTGATTAATATGCTAAGTACAATTTGAGTGACAGCTGCTGAAAGGGAATAAAGGGAGAATTGTGAGGAATCAGAGCTGTCCTTCGTCTATTAATTGTATTGTACTATGTCTTCTGACCCATGTTTTGCATTGTGATTGTCATTAATAAAGAAATTAGGAAAGAAAAAAGGAATCGGAGCTATCTCCATTATAATGTGCAAAGTGTGTTGACTGTTTTGTATCTAGTATGTATATACATGTAACTGCCAAAATAAAGTAAACGCCAACATAAAGTGTCTTGATAGGGTGTTGGGCCACCACGAGCCAGAACAGCTTCAATGCACCTTGGCGTAGATTCTGGAAGTGTCTGGAACTCTGTTGGAGGGATGTGACACCATTCTTCCTCGAGACATTCCATCACTTGGTGGTTTGTAGATTGTGTTGTAAAACTCTCTTTAGGTACCGCTCCAGAATCTCCCATAAGTTCAATTGGGTTGAGATCTGTTGACTTGAGATGCCCATGGCATATGGTTTACATCGTTTTCATGCTCATCAAATCATTCTGTGACCACTTGTGCCCTGTGGATGGGGGCATTGTCATCCTATGGGAGCATAGCCGTGGTAGCCAAAATAATGGCCTGCCCAGCATTTTTATACATGACCCTAAGCATTATGGGATGTTAATTGCATAATTAACTCAGGAACCACACCTGTGTGTAAGCACCTGCTTTCAATCTACTTTGTATCCCTCATTTCCACAAGTGTTTCCATTATTTTGGCAGTCACCTGTGTGTTGACTTTGAGTGCACTTTAAATGAAGTTGCTATGGTTTGTCTCATTGTAGCTCCAGCGAGCGGTGGCAGTGAAGCGTGTGGTCCAGGATGTGTTGGAGCGCTGCCCCCGCCTGCAAGCCCTCACCCCCCCTAAGACCAGAGAGGTGGTCCAGTGGTGCCGGCAGAGGGGCTACACTCCCCCGGACCCCGAGCCCCTACGCAGCAGCAGGCCTGACGAAGGAACCATCGAGGACATCCTCACACAGATAGACAACGAACCAGGTAGAGTGTGGGTGGGGGGGGAAAGAGGGTGTAGGCGTGTGTGTGTGAGAGAGAGAGATTCAGTGGTGTTGGAAGAGTTTGTGTGCATGACTCTCCGGGAGAAATGTCACTGCAACTCTATTATGTGGCATTCTTTGTAACCTTTTTCAAAGGCCAGTGTACTGTATGCAGGCCTGTCTGGTATTCACAAGCAGTCCTAATTCATTCTGTCCATTGTTCCTGTTCCTGTGTGGAGGAGAAAGGAGGTCGCTAGCCTGATGAGTCACACACCAGGCTGAGAGCCCAAACAGCCAAGCTCTGTTCTGCGCGGCTCTGCTCTAATCACTATGGCCCAAATACCCCAAATGCACACACTCTTTTGCTTTCTCTCTTTCATACACTCTCTCTACCTCACTCACTCACGCTCACTCTCTTTCTCTGCATGTCTAAACACAAAGTTAGGAACAGATGTGCTCAGCCTTCACACCTGTTTAAAGCTCTCACCTGTTAGCCTATTTTCTGAAGGTTATTTTCAGGATGGAATTAATATAAAGAGCTAGGAAGTCTTTATTTACGGTGCACCTAAGTTGTGTATTTACATTTCTCTTAATTGTCCATTTTATCTTTATTCAACCTTTGTCCTTCTACTCCTTCTATGGAGTACAGAGCAATATACACTGAGTGTACAAAACATTTAATGACATAGGCTGACCAGGTGAATCCAGGTGAAAGCTATGATCCCTTATTGATGTCACCTGTTAAAGCCACTTCAATCAGTGTAGATGAAGGGGAGGAGACGGGTTAAATAATTATTTTTAAACCTAGAGACAATTGAGACTTGGATTGTGTATGTGTGCCATTCAGAGGGTGAATGGGCAAGACAAAATATTTAAGTGCCTTTGAATGGGGTACGGTAGTAGGTGCCAGGTGCACCGGTTTGTGTCAAGAACTGCAACACTGCTGGGTTTTTCACGCTCAACAGTTTCCCGTGTGTATCAAGAATGGTCCACCACCCAAAGGACATCCAGCCAACTTGCCACAACTGTGGGAAGCATTGGAGTCAACATGGGCCAGCATCCCTGTGGAATGATTTCGACACCTTGTAGAGTCCATGCCCCGACGAATTGTGGCAGTTCTGAGGGCAAAAGAGGGGGTGCAACTCAATATGTTTTGTACTCTGTGTAGACGCCCACACATCTCACAACTCACTTCACCCTGCTACTACCTCAGGCTGTAGATAGAGAACATTCACTGTTATTGGAACCTCTACTTTTTTTTGTGTGTGTGTTAACGTGTGTGTATACATCTTTCTCTAGAGTGCCCCTCTACCCTGGGTAGCTGTGAGGAGTTGGTCCAGCGGTTGGAGCAGCTGCAGACCCTGCTGAAGACTGAGCCCGAGGATGATGACGATGAAGTCCTAGACATCGTCAGTGTGACCCCGCCCTCTCAGAGGTTAAAGGTCAAAGAAGAGGAACAGGAAGCGGACCCCGAGCCAAAGTACTTCCTGGCACCCTGCCCCTCGGCCCAGTTCATCAGCGACACAGCCCAACAGGTGAGGAGCTATCTGGTCGGCACCGACAGATAAGGGAGTTGGTCAAAGTTGACCCTTACTTAGGGATGCACAACTTTGATCCTCCATGGCCACAGTGTGTGCTGGCTTTCCTTCCTGCCATATAAATATACCGATTTGGACCTTGGAGGAAACCAAGTATGTGCACTTTGCAGTGAAATTCAATTCTCAGACTGGTGGACAATTTTCCTTTGCAGATCAGAGGTTGGCTATGAAATTTGATAAGCACCTAAAAATGGCCAGGTTTCACGGTGCTGTATTAAGATGCTAGAGAATTGTGGATTGTGTGAGGATTAAAATCCTGTAAGAGGCCTCCCGAGTGGCGCAGCGGTCTAAGGCACTGCATCGCAGTGCTTGAGGCGTCACTACAGACCCGGGTTCGATCCCAGGCTGTGTCACAGCCGGCCGTGACCGGGAGATCCATGAGGAGGCGCACAATTGGCCCAGTGTTGTCCGGGTTAGGGGAGGGTTTGGCCGGCTGGGATTTCCTTGTCCCATCGCGCTCTAGCGACTCCTTGTGGCGGGCCGGGCGCCTGCAAGCTGACTTCGGTCGCCAGCTGGACTGGATGGTGTTTCCTCCGACACATTGGTGTGGCTGGCTTCCGGGGTAAGCGAGCAGTGTGTCAAGAAGCAGTGCGGCTTGCCAGGGTCGTGTTTCAGAGGACACATGGCTCTCGACCTTCGCCTCCCCCGAGTCCGTAGGGGAGTTGCAGCGATGGGACAAGACTGTAACTACCAATTGGATATCAAATTGGGGTAAAAATAAATACAATTAAAATAAAAGAGGAGTGTGTACAAATATACACTCCTAGCATCAGTACAGCTGTGTACAGTATCTTGTGCTAACAAGACCCAGCATCTCCTAACTTAAGTCTCACTCTTTCTCTTTCTCTCTATCCCTTCTCCCCTCACACTTTCCTCTCTCCATCGCTCTCAGATTGGGGTGGCCTTTCAGCAGGTGGAGGTGGAGAAGAATGTGTTTGCTCCGGTGATCGAGGCCATGATTCTCAAGGTCAGTCACTCCGGATGCCTCAAACACTTATAATGAACAATGAGAATAACAGTTGGCCTCACTTAGAGATAGATGTCATTCACTAGATTGATGAAGACATTTTTCCTGTGTCCCTCTGTGCACCTGTCTCTGTTCCTGTACTGATATAAGATGTTCTGTGATGTAGTATATATTGTATAATGTGTTTCTGTCTTCTGCAGGCGACAGAGCAGTTTGCTAGTGACATCCTGAGAGAAGCTCTGGCTGGAGCCCATGTAAAATCCCCCCAGAACAGGTGAGACACACTCATTATCCCCTTCACACTGAGCTGGTATACTAAACACTGAGAATGTATTGTATTTTTCCCTATTAAATACACTATTAGATAAATGAATATCTTCCTTTTGTGTCCCCAGGGCTCCCAGGGAGATCACAGCCATGAACATTCACCAGGCGTCCAGCAGCATCCCCACATGTGACTTCCTCACCAACACACACATGGGCTACCTGACCAAGGAGGACTGATTACACACAACCTAACTAAGGACAAATGGCCACTCAGACTGAGAGAGATACACGCACACTGGCTACTAGGGCTGGGAATTACCAGGGACCTCACGATACAATATTATCATGATACTTACGTGCCGATACGATATGTATTGCGATTCTCACAATTCTATATGTATTGCAATTCAATACTGTGATTTTATTGCGATTCGATGTTCCAAACATATTGCTCACCATATGTCTGCTGCAGAGGGACAAGAGAGAGCCATGAGAACGAGTTTTGATCATGGAAATAAAAGTGCTGAAAACAAATTGGCTCCCTATTTAAAAAGATAATGGAGAACAGGCTCTGATGGAAAAATACTGGAGTTTTGGTGCAGGTACAGACAACTAGCGCAATAATAATATTGCGATATTGTCAAAACGATACGATATATCGTCAGAAATAATATCCCAATATGTAACTATCGATTTTTCCCCCATCACTACTGGCTACTCACATCAGTCTCACTAGCTGAGAGATGGGAAGTAAGAGCTGCAGAATGAGCGTATGGCCCTGCCTCTCTGGGGTTAAACTGAACTGTTGGCCAGGCAGAAGAACTCTGACAGACATTGACCACAACAGAGATACAGTCGGAGCGCAGCAGGAATGCTTCAACCCCACCTGGAAGACCATCTCACCATTTCACTCACACTTTCTCTTATTCTCTCACTCGTCCCTGTTCTCTCTCCTCTTACTCCGTCTCTCACTTTATTTATCTCTCTTCTACTTTCTCTAGGTCCGTCTCATTCATTTCTAGAAAGAGAAGAGAAATCAGTTTAGTCTTGACAGAGATGGTCTATAATCAGCTGCTTTAGCTAAGAGCTCCTGGATAAACAGAACCAACCGACAGTTTAAACCATTAGTCAGCCAATTTTCATATCTCAGTATCATAAAGTAGAATCAAGAACACAGACAACACAAACACCTGGGTGGAATTCAGGACTCCACAACCTTCTGAACATTAAGAGATTACATTATTCCTAAGCGCTTATCAGAGTCCAAAACGTGTACGTGTCTTACAGCAGTTCTAGAATATTGGACCGCTAGCTTTCATAGTTTTTGAATTCTCAGCGCTGCTCAAGCTATTTCTCCAACCATCACCACATTCAAATGAATAGCAGAGCCGTGTTGGTTGGGAATTTTGGGGAGGTGCTCGGTCAGGCTGTGCATCCCCTGTGGATGGTGGTCGCAGATCCAGATAGATGTGTCACAATGGGCCGCAGGACTATCGCGTCTCTGCGTCTGTGGACTCTGAATTAGCTTTATTTTTTTATGGGGTCCCCACTCCCCAGACATTTTAGTGATAAAAATGGGGTCCCCCGTTGAAAAAGTTGGAATACCATTGCGTTACTCTATATGATGACAGATCAGTATATCTGTTCTACTCAATAAACAGTATTTATATCTGAACGTTCCATAACGCTGTGCCCTACTGAATGCGACCCTGGGGATCAATCATAACATACCTGGCATAGCCATTTCTTTAATAATCTGTTTTAGTTTGTATAACTGGTTTACCTGACAGTCTGACTACTGTACTGTATCCACTGACTTAATCACAGCTGGGCTCAGTATGCTCCCTCTAAACCGCCACACAACGTGAGATAAACATTGTATTGAACATTGTGGGTCTTAAACATTGTCGAATGCTTAAAAATAGATGTCTATGGGACAGTATGTCTGGTGTCCTCTCTCTCACCTTGTAACGGGATTATGTGTGTATTAAGTGGTTGAATTTTTCTCTCATATGGCTACAACTCAACAATGTGCGCCACTAGGCCATATATGTGCTTTGATTGAAACTAAACACATGTAGGCTATGCTACAGTTTGTTAACACCATCTGCTCTAGAATTCGCTCTCTAGCCTAATTCTAAACAACACTGTAGATTACTTCGAAACTGTACCCTATAACTCAAGAAGATCTAAATGCATATCCCCATGAAACTCCACTGAGATCAAATGGTTGGGATGCAGATGCTGCATGGAAGTTTCACCAGTAAAACTTGAATAATTATAATTCATGATTGACAGTGAGAAATGCACAAGGGAGGTTCTCTACGAGCAGAGACTGTGTAAAGTAGAGAATCCTGCACATGCGCAGAGGCTTCGGGACCTTCAGCTGTCATGAAGAAAGGTCTAGAAAAGTCAGATCCGCAGCCTCTGCCATTAAAGTATTGTCTGTCTGACAGTCACAGAGGGGAGAGTAAGTGGCTTACAGACCTACTGCACATCAGACCAGATGACGACCCCCCAATAGCAGTCTTAATCCCATTGTACTCTTCTGGGAACAGTGTTCTTGTCATTCAGTCAATTCAAGAGATGAACTGAATTAGAAATCGGATTGCAATTGGTTAAATTCTTCTCCATGAGGAATTTTTAAATCACAGATTATATATATATTTTTTTTTTTCTTCCTGAATTGACTGAGTTGAAATGGAATAGAGCCCAATCCTGACTGTTGTCATGATGTCTGTGGACTGTACTCAAGTGTTACATATCAGCCTGATCCCAGATCTGTGTGTGCTTCAGCCGACTAAGCATGTATGCAATGACAACAATAGCCAGAGGAGTCGAGCTAAACAAGCACATACAGATCTGGGACCAGGCTAGTTCGATATGTCAATGAAGGAGTGCTATAACTTGAGAAGTGTTGGACAGTAGGGATGGGGGGGCCACACATTCATCTGTGTGAGTCCAGGATTAACATTGTGGTTTTTACATGGTCCACTCCCCTCTGGAGTAGGGTTGACCGTCAATTGTTAGTGAAGTGCATTTGTAATGTTATGTTTTCGAAACAGTATGTATGTCCCTACCACTAAGACTGTGTATGTGTGTACATTGTGTGTATGACTGACTCCGGTTTTTGTTTGTTCACGTCATATCAAGCCCCGCTACCAGCAAAGTCATTACTATGGTGTGTTAGAATGTGTGTTTGTGTGTATTATTTATGTGTTTGTGTTAGTGTGTGTGTGTTGGGGTATATGTAGTGTGGATATGGGTGTACTGTATGGACCTATATATGAGAGTGAGAGAAAGTGAAGGTGAATTAATGAAAATATCTTTGAATATGATGCATTTTGGATGTTGTGGACATGGTTGTTGGTGGACATTTAGCTTGTGTAGGAGTGAAGATGATAGGTGTTATGTTTGTTTCTGTATGAATCTGGTAAGTGTGTGGTGTGCTCACTCTAAACTGAGTGGTACCTTGCCCGTTTGACCAAACTTTATGTATTGTAGAAATAATATCAATTGACCATTATATTTTCATTTTCCAGTGCACACCAAAAATATGATCAATATTCTTGTATTAAAATGGAAAACTTGTTTATAAAACTGTGGTTGTGTTTTTGAAGTGACTTAGCGTCTTGTTATCCCCCCTCTGCCCCAGGATGCCTTTTCCCGATTCCCTCACTCCCTCTTCCTCCCTCCAGCTCTCTCTCTCTGAGAGCCTCTTCACACTTACTACACTTTTCAAAAAAATAGTTGGCTACTCATATTAATCTAATGTAAACTTGCCTATTTGCTACGTCTCGACTGCTACCTCCGGAAGTAGAGCACGACACTTGTCCGACAGTTGCCCCCCTTGAAGCAGGGCAGTGTAAACAGAATAGCCAACACTCCTACAGTATAAATGGTAATAGCAGAGCAATGTTTTGGAAACAGCTGAAATGCATTGACATTTTTCTAATATTTGAAACTTGTTTTATTGAGTTTTTAGCTGAAATTGCAGTAACAGCCTGTTCCATTCATTTTCTAATAATAATCATATTTAGCAGATGCTTTAATCCTAAATTACTTACAGCCATGCATGCATACGATATCATACGGTTGGCCCCAGTGGGAATCGAACTCATGACCCTTGGCTCTGCACGTGCCATGCTCTACCAACTGGGCCACATTCTCTCTCCTGCTCTCATTTTAACACAGCCTGTGCGATAGGGCTGCAGTAGATTTGGAGAGATTACAGGGTGCTGGACTGATGAGGAGGCTTTGGTGTGTCTGGGTGGGGTGGTAGGATCAGATGGCAGTACTTTATGTTCTCAATGTGGCTCAACTCCCGTGCCTCGCTCCCTTTTTTTTCACTGAAAGGATGGCAAATGAGATATGAGAGGGATGAGGAAGGATCTGGTGCATGGACTCTAAATACTCACTCTCAAGTAGTGGCCTTCTGTGACCCTCGAAGATCACAGAATCACTTACAATTCTAGAAGCCAGAAACACAAAGCCACTGTTGCAGGTCACTGACAGAGCCCACCTTTGATACATAAGAGGCAGTCTTTTTTTTAGTCAGAGACCAGACACCTAGGCAGGGATGGGGACAGCCAGGTTTCCAGGTACTAGCCAGAATGACCCGACACGCAAACATCAGAGAGAGCCGTGTGTGTTCGCAGATGCTCCCTGTTATCATATTCTATGATAGCATTAGAGCTGTGTGACATGCATTACAGAATATGGTCATGAATACCAGGGCAAGCCACCATGTTCGGCATCCCTGACTGGCACGCATTTGTTCCAGTAGTGTTTTGCTCATTACTCTTAGATCAGGTTAATGTCAGGTAACTATATGTTTAGGTCAGGTTGCTGTAAGGTTAGGTTCGATTAGATTAGGTTTCTGTAAGATTAGATTTGGTTACTGTAAAGTTAGGGCTGGGATAAAGGGACTGATCTGAAAAAGGGGTTATGCATCTGATCCTGTGAACCTTGTGTATAATCCTTTTCCAACAGGCTCCATTAAACTACAGAATTCACTGCAAGTCATACAATGTACTGTTGTATAATGTGTTGCGTTGTTGTTTCATTTTGTGGATCATGTTGATGGACCAGGGAAATTAGTCATTATTGCTTCCGATTTAGTTGCTGTGAGCATAGATTTTGTCATGAACTGCTTGTGCATGCAAAACCACACACACCCCATGGTGCTCCTCCACTGTTGTAGGGTGTTACAGAAAAGGGGAACAAAGAGAACAAGGTGTGCCATTATCATCATCACACTTATGGAGATGCAGGCTGCTCGCTCTCTCAGCTTGTTCACTCAAATTCAGTTTCATCACCTCAGATGAACAGATCCAAGGTGTTATAACACACACATCACAGTGTGTCTAACCACCTCATGTTCACCCTGTTGTATATTTGTTCACTATCTCAAGAATGAATCTCGTTTGCGTTCATAAAGTATCTCAGAGTAGGGAGTGCTGATCTATGATCTGTTTTGCCTTTTAGATCAGATGAATAAGATTATATGGGGGGATCCTAGATCAGCACTCCTAATCTGAGACGCTTTATGAATACGGGTCCTGATCAAAGAAAACAGTTCATCATAAAGATACAGTAGATATCATATAAGATGGGTGTAGCAGAAACATCTACATCAATGGGATGAACAGGAGTTAAGAACCTAATATTATTTTATTGTAATATACTGTACATTATATAATATTTAACTTTTTATTTTCTTAAACAGATTTACAAAATGAATGTATACACTGGAACAAATATTTTCTCAAAATAGTTACCTACCAGTAATTGAATAGAAACGAAATAAATATATATTTTGTTTCCATTAATAAAAGACTAGTAGAGATCAAAGGAAAAACATACATTTCTCAACAAGTCATCACCTTGTCATTTCAATAGATCCAACAGTATGTACAAAAATGATTTATTAACTCAAATAATTCCAACTGAACAGATGCACACACATACACACAAACATACATGTACACACAGTACACACAAACACACATTACTGAGCAGCCGTGTTGTCTTGGAGTGTCTAACGGCAAAAAAGCTTGATTTCAAACTAGTTTGTTTCATGCATATTAGATTTTCATAGCAATAGAACAGAATAGTAAAATGATTTATCTTCTTTTATGACATCTAGTTTGTCATTCACTCTTGTCTGATTTACTATACTGGACGGGTAAGCTGACTTTTCCTTTCTGGTTACATTAAGAAGATGTACATTCCCTTGCATAGATTCTGTTATAGTATGGAATGGACAGAGAACATTCCCTAATTGGTTCTTTGGACTCCCCGTAACCAGTAGAAGGATTTGGAGAGTCTGTCATATGTTGAAGATTCTGGATCCGCTTTGAAACACTGCAGAGGGGTTGGGAGAGAGCTTAGTCCTAACCAACTGCTCCTGCAAAAACACAAACAACACATGGGTTATTCAAAGATGATGACAAGCAATGCAGGTCTTGTGCTGTTCAGATACGATATACAGTCATGTGAAAAAGTAAGTACACCCCCTGAAAAGTTGTCTTTTTTAAAAACATATTTGGACAGGTGGAAATGTAATGTTCACTTCAACACTATTGACAGATAAAGGTGACCTAATCAAAAAAATGACACTAAAGGATTATACTTTGTAATAATTTATTCATCAAACATCAACAGAAATGCAATTCCATAGTGCGGAAAAAATAAGTACACCCCTAGCTTCAATAGCTTGTGTTGCCCCCTTTGGCTGAAATAACTTCATGTAGACGTTTCTTGTAACTGTCTATCAGTCTCTTACATCGACTGGGAGGAATTTACAGCACTGCTTCAACTGTGTCATGTTCGAGGACTTTCTTGCATGCACGGCCCACTTCAAGTCCCCCCACAGCATTTCGATAGGATTGAGATCTGGGCTTTGACTCTGCCATTTCTTTTTTTTTTGCCATTGTGTTGTAGCTTTGTTTTTGCGTTTTGGATTATTGTCCTGTTGCAAGATCCATGTTTCAGCTTTTTGACAGATGGCCTCACATTCTCCTCAATAATTATCTGGTACAATATAGAATTCATGGTTGACTCAATGATGGCAAGTTGGCCAGGCCCTGAGGCAGCAAAGCAGCCACAAACCATAATGCCACCACCTCCATGCTTTACGGTTGGTATGAGGATCTTCTGTTCAAAGGCAGTGTTTCGTTTTCGCCAAACATGGCGTCTGGCATTGCGGCCAAACAACTCCACCTTTGACTCATCTGTCCAGAGCACATTGTTCCAGTAGTTTTTGTCTTTACCCAGGTATTGTCTGGCAAACGTCAGTCGTGTCTTGATATTCTTTTTTGAGAGCAGAGGCTTCTTCCTTCCTGACCTCCCATGTAGGCCAAGTTTGTGTCTCTTTCTGACAGTTGACTCATGCACTTCGACATTGATTGTGGCAAGAGAGGCCTGTAGATCCCTTGATGTTACCCTGGGGTTCTTAGAGACTTCTATGAGCATCTTTCAGTCAGGTCTTGGGCTGAATTTGGTGGGACGACCTGTCCTAGGTAGATTGCCAGTGGTCTGGAATTTTCTCCATTTGTAGATGAGCCGTCGGATAGTGGAATGATGTACTTCGAATTGCTTGGAAATTGATTTGTAACCCCTCCCAGACTCATGGGCATCAATAATCTTTCTTCTGAGGGCCTCGGGTAGGTATTTTGATCTTGGCATGATGTGTTACCACACACCCATATGGTTAAGACCAAACCAGACCAAGTTTCTAATCTTTATGGAAGGCTGGACCCTCCTCAGTTTCTCTCTAATAATTCTCTAATCATTTGCACCTGTTTTGGTGCACCTGATTCTAATTTTAGCCATTTTATGTGATGATAAAGGTAGGGGTATACTAACTTCTTCCGCATAAGGAAAAGGCATTTTTGTTTATTTTAATTGCATAACATTTTCAAAGTATAATTTGTTTTGTGTGATTTGTTAATTTGGGTTACCTTTATCAATGAATGTGGTGGGAATTTAGATCAAATATCCATGTCCAAAAATAAATTAAAGAAAAGACCACTTTCCAGGGGGTGTACTTACTTTTTCATGACTGTATGATATACACAGTTTATTAGGTACACCACCCCGTTCACGAAAATTGTTCGCTCCTACAGACACTGAGTCACGTGGCCGTGGCTTGCTATATAAAGCAGGCAGACAGGCATAGAGGCATTCAGTTACTCTTTGATTGAACGTTAGAATAGGCAAAACGAATTACCAAAGCAAATTTGAGCGTGGTATGATCGTCGGTGCCAGGCGCACCGGTTCCAGTATCTCAGAAACGGCCGGCCTCCTGGGCTTTTCCCGCACGACTGTGTTTAGGGTTTACAGCGAATGGGGCGACCAACAAAAACATCCAGTCAGCGGCAGTCCTGTGGGCGAAAACAGCTCATTGATGAGAGAGGTCGAAGGAGAATGGCAAGAATCGTGCAAGCTAACAGACGGGCCACAAAAAGGCAAATAATGGCGCATTACAACAGTGGTGTGCAGAACGGCATCTCGGAACACACAACTCGTCGGTCCTTGTCACGGATGGGCTATTGCAGCAGACGACCACTCCGGTTCCACTCCTATTAACTAAAAACAAGAAGAAGCGGCTCCAGTGGGCACGCGATCACCAACACTGGACAGTTGAGGAGTGGAAAAACATTGCCTGGTCCGACGAATCCCGGTTCCTGTTGCGTCATGCTGATGGAAGAGTCAGGATTTGGCGTAAACAGCATGACTCCATGGCCCCATTCTGACTGGTGTCAACTGTACAGGCTGGTGGAGGTGGTGTAATGGTGTGGGGAATGTTTTCCTGGCACACGTTAGGTCCCTTGATACCAATTGAGCAATGTTTGAACCCCACACCTTGTAGAATCCATCCCCCGAACAATTCAAGCTGTTCTGGAGGCAAAGGGGGGTCCGACCGGTACTAGATGGGTGTACCTAATAAACTGGCCAATATTGTATGATAATATGAGAGGTGACTTGTTTGGTTGTGCAGTCATAGTGCATCAGTGGACTAGTAGACAGAATTAATCACTGCAAATGCTGCTGATGCTAGACTTTCTGAAAGAACATTCAGCCGGAACCTACGTGAATGGAATTTCACTCAACCCTGAAATGAAGTTTGCATGCTGCATCCATCAAGTAACATGTTCTAGGCTTGATATGATGATTAGATATGGATCTGCCTGTTCCAATGCAGTTGATTAGTAGTGGTACAATGGAAGGTTTGTTTGGCAGAGTTCGACTTGAAATCAAAGTGTGATTTTCTAAGTCGTAGGTCTGTAGTCTCAGTAGCAGTCTCTTCGGCCAATGAAAAATAGGATATGACTACTACTGTATTTGCTGGATGTGAGGCTGTGTCTGTACATTAAATCTGTCAAACTGCAGCGTCGAAAAAAAAGTTTGTGTGTGCTTCAGTCTGTTTGCCTATGTGTTTGTGTGTATATGTGGGTTTGTTCACCTCCTCCAACACACACTCTCAGTACAGCAGCCAGGTCTGCCTCTCTCCTAAATGAGATTCACGCTGAAATGACTGCAAGCCACTGCATCGCATCACACTGGCAAAATGGCAAAATAATCCATTATTGCTCACTTTATCGCTCTCTCTTCCTCTCACCCTTTCCATCACTCACTCTCTCGGTCTTGATAGAACCCTGCTGGTTTGGCTCATGACAGTGGCTGTAGTCAGACACATCGTGGGAAAAGTTCAAATTCAACCGAACAGGGAAACAAGAGAGAAAGAGAAAAAAGAGGAGAGGGACTGGAGGGAAGATGAAAGGAGAGAGGATGAGAGTGAGGAAAGGGGTGCAAAGGGAGGTGATTTGCAGGATGCTTTGTGTCTGCACAGTTTGATCCTCTCTTTATGCAGTTCTAGCCCATTGTAAACCACATCCCCATTCCTCCCCTGTTTATCTGTTTTAGTACAAAGCAAAAAAAATCTTTATATCACATTTAAAAGCTCAGGCAATGTCCTCCAGCTGTGCTAAAACAAGGTTCTTAATGTCTCATGGGAGGAAACACTCTCAGTAGACGCATTGATGGAACTACAGAATGTTATGCCTAAATGTTTACCATCATTCAGGGAGCACTCAGAAAGCTGTTTCAGAAATAAATGGCTTGTAGACTGCTTAAGCATCTTTCTTAACTGTAAGGGTACGGCTAATTTGAAAAAAATATAAATACATTTTTAATCACTCACTCCCTCTCATAATCATGTTTATTGATTTTGGTTCCAAAAGCATAAGGAGGACTACAGTATTAATTCCCTTGATGGATGGGTGAATGCTATGAAAGCGGATGAACTTCTCAGAGGTTTATCAGCACATACTGTAATGGTAATAACTACTTACTACCTGTATGCATGGCTCTGTGTACTATGCGCTAGTGTTGCCCGCATCCCCGGGCAAATGTTTCCCAGCTGTGCTTTTGTCTATCCATGACCTTCCTAATGGAAAATGTTTCCATTGACTCATCATGTCGATGGACAATATCCTGAGTGTTGTGTGTGTGTGGATGTGGGTGTGTGTGTGGGTGTTTGGAGTGCTTGGTCAGAGAGCTCAGTGGGTGGGGGCGTCAATAATGAGTTGGCAGTATGTGGAGGCTGGAACTGGACTGGATTGTTTAATATAGATCCCATTGCTTTTACGTCATGTTGGCAGATTGCTCGGTGACTGATAAAAACGATGGAGCACTAGGTTGTTGTTTGGGGGTAGAGGGGAGGTATTACTGAAGTAGAAGTTGATTGATGGGTTAGGGGGTGTACAGAGAGAGGGTCCAATACGATGACCATAGCCTGTAGTTGGTATCTGATGTCTAATTTTCGGGGCAGGAGATGGGGTTAGATCCTTTCCACCCAATCTTTACAACAGCTCTTACATAGTAGCCTACTGTAGTGTTGTACCTTTCCTTGCATACACCCTGAACACACACACATCTAACCCTGGTTTTTGGGCCATGGTTATTAATAGACTATGACCTACAGATGACATGTCTCATATTAAATCCTGTGGCCTGTCAAACGCTGTTGGACTGGCCTTCTACAACACAGTCATGTAGGCACAGGCCCACCCAATCAGATTGAGCAGGAAAAAAAGTTATTTTATTTTATTTTGATGCTCTCTACTTGTCAGTGTTCCAAACGGGACACTTTTTGTCTTTTTGCCTAAACATGCAAATGCCATCAGATAGAATTAGTAGCAAGCTGGAATGACATTCACTCATGGGATGGGTGGCCAAAAATAACTGACTGAATGCCACACCCCCAATAAGCCACGAATATGACCGCATTGAGGCGTATGTCACTGTGCTTCTATGGCTATATGCACCATGCCACTGCCCACTTAATTTGTTCATTTAGCAAATAAAACAGCTCATAATCCAGTACCTTTATCACTGTCAACACACCTATATTTTAGCTTTATGTTACAGGAGGGGGTCGCAGTTCCGGAACGACCCACTAGGTGTCATCCTCCGACAACCTTAGGCACCTCCTCACTCACAGTCTGGACTAATCAGTACCCTATTGGTGTCACCTGTGACTACCTGTTCACCTGTGTATTTATGCCCTCACTTCCCTGAGTTCCCTTGCTCAGTTTCCTCTGCTAGTTTCACTATGCCTAGCAGTACTACTCAGTGTCTGATCACGGGACGTATGGACAGGTACGTGAGAAGTGTTCAGTTAGTATTTCGTATTTTGACTGTCAGCCTGTTTTTTGGAGTCTTATTTGCTCCGCTTTTCTTTTTCGTGTAAAGTCCGTTATTTTGTATCCTGGCTTCGGGACCATCAGTAAAGATCCTTGTTTTGCTATCTCTGCCTACTGCCTACTGTCTATCCTGCACCCCATCTGGGTCACACCTCACACCAACCCTTACAGCTTTAATTAGCATTCAAAATGCTAAATGTTCTCTCAGCCTCATCGCAAAATGTGTAGCATAGCATGAGATTATTTATAAACCTGCACATTTTCCTCTCTGCCCCATGGCAAAATGTGTAGAATTGCAGGAAATTAGCTATACAATTGCAAATGTTTATCTTTGCCCCATGGCAAAATGTATAAAATTGCAGGAAGTTAGCTGTTTTCTGCAGGCCCATCCAACAAAACAATTCTGGCTACGCTACTGCTACAACATCTTGCTTAGACTGACTATACACTGGCATTCTACATCTAACTTGGAGGCTAAAACATGTTCTCTCATGTGAATGGCCAAAAATATATGTTTATTTCAACTTGCTATTAAATTGACAACTGAAACATTCCTAGCAAGCAGTGTGCAGGAGTTTCTTCTTTCTCTAATCTGTGACAATCTCTCTGGCATAGATGACAATGAGTGAAAGCGGAAAGCCGAGTATGTCCAGACCAGCCCGGCCCGTTCTCTCCTACTCTCCGCTGGCAGATGGCACAGAGGAGCGTGGGTGGGGGAGGGGGGGGTCACACTAAACCCCTGGAGATTCCCCAAAGAGTTCCACTCCCTGTCACGCAGGGATCAAAACAGGAGTTACAGTACTGCTCTTTCTTTCTCTGTCTATCTGTATCTCTGTCTCTGTCTCCCCCACTCCCTCCCTCCCTACTGCCCTCTCACCACACCTGAACCCACTTTGACACAACATCTCAGTGATTGAGTCTCCAAATCCAATTGGCCAGATGTCTGAATATTATTGACTTTCTTTTCTCCTCATGTAATGCCTGCTCTAACCAGGTCAATGTCATAAGCCTGGCAGTTTTCTGGTGTTACATAATCATCCGAAACAGCTGGGTCACTTTGAGCAGCTTTAGGACAGGACAGGACAGGATGCTGTATCACCTAATTTTTCCCCATTGACTGCAATGTATTGAGAAAAACATTAGCTACTGTGCCATTTTACCTTTTTGCAAAAACGTGTCAGGATGACGTTTTCAGGCTGATAATGGGATGCTCTTAGAGATGCCTCAGCACCACTGGGAACACCTGGTACCTGGCTGGAATAATGGCTATATCCCAAACCATACCTTTACCCTATATTCCCCATTCAGTGTCTGTCTTTTAAGTGGCTTTGCCTTTAGCCAGAAATAGTACTATCTAAGGAATAGGGAGAGATCAGAAATGTGTACAATGACTTCTATAGGACGAGATCCTACCACTAAGACTTTGCTCATATCAAGGATACGGCCCATTTTAAAAACATTTAAAAACAGGATTTATGCCCTGAAACACACTGGGAAACACAAAAACAGGAGTCCGCTGTCTCACCTCTCCCATGGTCCCTATACTGAGGTCGGGTCTCTCTGGCAGGCTGCTCTGCTGGAGGCCGGTGGTGGTGGTGATAGGGGTGGTAGTGGCAATGGAGTAGGGCTGGAGTGGGGTTACGGTGTTTTGGGGGACGGTGGAGATGGAGGTGGTGGTCAGCAGGCCAGCAGTGGAGGTGCTGGGAGTATGGTCCCTCTGGTGAAGCTCTGTGTGTCTGAAAGCCTCCCCGCCTCCATTGTAGGCGGCTTGGTAGCTGGTCTCATTAGGGAGGTGGGAAACCCCCGACCCGGGACTGGCATACGGGGCAGGGGGGCGTTGTTGCCTGGTGGTCTTGGCTGGTCTTGCCCCCGTCCAAGGCCTGTACTCCTGTCTACAAGGATGAGAGGATGGAAGGGTAAGAGAGAGCTCTCGCGGTCTGCAAAATTATTTTTATTTTACAAACACTGCAAACGTTTTTCCATTGGCTTTATGCTCTTTATACTGTAGGCTATTTAGCAAATTCTGTATTGTTGTGTAAATCGAACCAACCAAAGCATGAACGAACCAATCAGAGAGCAAGGTAAGCCCTAATGACATAGGCTTATCATTGATAAATGGTAACAACATCGATTGGGGCTACAGCAGAGGGGGTAGAGGGGCCCAGGTGGGTTCTGTTAACAGTATTATCAAAAGTTAGCTGCAGCATTGGATTATCATTAAATCAGGATCTCAGGCAGAATAGCTTCAATTTGGTTTTTAATGATGGACTTAAAATAAAAAAAATATTCAACATGGGGGGGTTAAAAAGTGTGTGAGTTTGTGAATAATTGAAAGCGTTTTGCTGTGTTTCTACTTCAGCAGCAGCCTACTTTACAGATAAAATCTACTGATTATTTCTGTAGCATGACACATAATATATACAATTTATTTCGCATAGCAATTTCCTTTGAAAAGGTATTACATGATTATGTATACTGCAGATTAGATTTGGGCCAATGGCCCACTGTACATAATCCAACCAAATGATTTAATGAATTTCAGAGAGCGCATCATTAGCTAAGAAATTAAAGCAAATTTGAAGCAGACTCATGGAATCGTTAGGTTAGAGCGCAATGGGTTATCAATAGTTTTTTTAGTGAGTGAAAAGCTCTAGGTGCTGAAATGAAAGAAACAGAGTGGTTCTGAAAGGACAGCGTCAGAGTGATGGAACCTACCTGTAAGAGCTTTTAGCTGTTACCGTCCCCGGCTCCCCCCACCTCTGTCTGCCCCGCTCCTCTCTCTCCCTCTCCCCTATGTCCCCTCTCGTCTGGCTCGCATTGGGGTTACTGTTTACCGGGCTATCCGAACCAACGTCGCCCCCTTTTCCGCCATTGCTAATCCAGGGGAAATTCTCCTTCTTCGGAATAGGCCAGGGTTTGTAATCCTGCGTGTACTGGGTGACACTGGAGAAAGGCACACCGGGTTGGTGGTAGTCAACCTGGGGTTTGAAGTTGGGCTCCCTCCGGCCCCTCAATGACCTCTGGGTCCCCGGGGCATCTCCCGGTGTCTGGGGGGATCCGCGGTGTTCCGGGGTGGAATAGTTGTGCCTCAGAACCCGGTCCGTCGGTACCTGCCTGGTGACGGATTGTACCTCTTGGTCGGTGATCTCCGAATAGTTCTGTATGGTCAGTGGCACTGAAAGATCGGATTTATCAAACTGGTTCCAGAACCGAGCCAGACAGCACACTCTGCTTATGCACGGCCAAGCCATGGCGATTTGGTTCGAATACAAAAAAGAAATAGGCTAATCAAAGAAAAGGGGAAAAAAATAAAATAAGGAAAATTGAAAAAAATAATATATATCAAACGTTAGCTACATTCAGAAGTGCCGCTGTGTGTATGTCCCCATTCCTGGAAACCTTCGCCAGCGTGCAGTCTCCACGCCAAAGCTCTGGAATGCCAAGATGGGAGCGGAGCCGCTCGTGAAGCTGTCATTGCACATTCCTCTCACGTGGTACTGAAGGCTTCGAGTTGATGCAGAGAAATCTATTGCAAATTATTCATCTGGAGTCCAACAGAGAGAAAAGCTATTCAGGTCAAGTTATTCCATTACAAGCTCAGCAGGAATCTGCTATTCTATCTCATTCCAAACCTGTATCATACATAACGGGCCCATCATGCACAACCCATTATTAGCCTAGTAATCAAGTTCATGTAGCCTATGCACTCTGAACATAAATCTGAAACTGACATTAGGCTCGAGGCTATATGGTGTAAACTTTTTAAGTAGAGAAATATTCATTGAGAGGTCAATCACATTTTACATTTACATTTACATTTTAGTCATTTAGCAGACGCTCTTATGCAGAGCGACTTACAATTAGTGAGTGCATACATCATGGCTCTGACAAGGCTTGATAACTGAGTAATTGCAGTCAGCTGCTTTTGTGTGAAACCCTCCACATGGCTGCCATGAGACAGCCCTTGCTCCTGTTGCCTCTGGTTACCACAGGTAAATAAACTGTTGATTCTATACTCAGGTAGTTGTTATATTTCCCAGATAGAGGCATTCATGTATAAACCAGGGACACTTGAAGATCCAATCAATTAACCAATTATACTGAATAAAAATATAAACACAACATGCAACAATTTCAAAGATTTTGCTGAGTTACAGCTCATATAAGGAAATCAGTCAATTGAAATAAATTAATTAGGCCCAGCCAATCAGAATGGGTTTTTCCCCACACAACGGCTTTATTAATGACAGAAATACTCCTCAGCACCCCTCTGACGATCCCACAGGTGAAGAAGCCAAATGTGAAGGTCCTGGGCAGGTGTTGGTTACACGTAGTCTGTGGTTGTAAAACGACATTGGAGGTGGCTTATGGTAGAGATATTAACATTCAGTTCTCTGGCAACAGCTCTGGTGGACATTCCTGCAGTCAGCATGCCAATTGCATGCTCCCTCAAAACTTGAGACGTCTGTGGCATTGTGTTGTGTGATAAAACTGTAAGTTTTATAGTGGCCTTTTATTGTCTCCAGCACAAGGTGCACCTGTGTGATGACCATGCTGTTTAATTAGCTTCTTGATATGCCACACCTGTCAGGTGGATGGATTATCTTGACAAAGGATGAAATGCTCACTAACAGGGATGTAAACCAATTTGTGCACAAAATTTGAGAGAAATAATATTTTTGTGCGTATGGAACATTTCTGGTTTCTTTTATTTCAGCTCATGAAACATGGGACCAGCACTTTACATGTTGTGTTTATATTTTTGTTCAGTGTAGCTATAGAAAATCCATTTAACTCTCGTTTCTTGTGATTAGGCTACCTCTCAGCATTCTGTCCAGAGATTTAAAAAAAATCATGATTGAATTGCCTATAAAACTAAACTACCCAGTAAATAAGTCTCTAGATAACCTTGAAGATGGAGAGATGTGGTTTTGTTTTGTCAATTATAGATGGTGTGCTGGCATGGGAGGAAGGGAGCTTGTCAGTAGTCCTAAAAACTGGAAATGCGTTACCTCTGGTTCATTCAGCCATTCCTATTGGGGAAATGAATGGGGAAAGAATGTGGTTTGGGATGAACACTGAAAATACAGCCCATTATCAGCCTGAAAATGTCATCCTGGCACGTTTTTGTAAAAATGTCACAGTAGCTGACGTTTTTCTCAATACATTGCAGTCAACGGGAAAATATGATTGTCACAGGGTTTAAGTTTATGTCAATACATTGCATTCAAAGGGAAAAGATGAGTGTCACAGGGTTGATGCTTATGTCAATACATAGCAGTCATTGGAAAAAATAAGCGTCAAACAATTGAATCTTATGTCAATAAATTGCTGTCAATGGGAAAAGATCAGTGTCACAGGGTTGATGGATAAGTGAATATATTGCATTCAATGGGGTAAGATTAGCTTCACAGTATGGACGCATAGAAAAAGGCATCACAAACATGACACACTCTCTCTCTCTCTCTCTCTCTCTCTCTCTCTCCTTCACCCTCTCAATCTCTCTCTCCCTCCTCCCCCCTCCATTCTATCTCCCCCCTTCTTCCCCCCTCCCTCTTATATATTTCTCTCCCTCTATCCTCTTCCACCTCCACCCCTCTCCACTTTCCCACCTCCACAGACAGGGTATTTGGTGCATAAGTCAATACATTGCATTCAAGGAAAAAAAGTTGGTGATAGAGCTGCAATGGGTAAATTGTTGAAAGACTCAGACTGTCACACCCTGGCTCGGGGGACTCTATATGTTGAGCCAGGGTGTGTAGATTCTATGTGGTTTTGTTCTATGTTCACAGTCTAGTATTGTATTTCTATGTTGGCCAGAGTGGTTCCCAATCAGAGGCAACGAGTGTCAGCTGTGGCTGGTTGTCTCTGATTGGGAGCCATATTTAGACAGGCTGTGTTCCCACAGGTGTTGTGGGATCTTGTTCCGTTTGGTTTGTTCCGTGTTGGTTGTTTAACCTAGGACGTCACGTTGTTCGTTTATTGTTTTGTTCTTGTTATCTCTAAAGATAATAAAGTATGTTCGCTCATCACGCTGCGCCTTGGTCTACTCCGTTCAATCATCGTGACAGAAGATCCCACCACACCAGGACCAAGCAGCGTGTCCAGGAACACACGCAGGAGGTAACTCTAGTGGATGTCCTCCTCGGTTGGGGGCAGATTACAGAGGAGGAGGCCGTCCGGTACCGGAAGGCTATGAAGGGGGAGACCCAGGCAGGAGAGGAGAAGCGGCGTCAACCGGGCCGTGGTCGGACAGGCGAGAGGCACCCCCAATAATTTTTTAGGGGGGGGCACACGGCATGGGCGACGGGGCAGCAGGAGGCTGCCACAGGGCGTTTTGGGAGATTAGGAGAGGAGGCCACCGGGTTTGGGGGGCCAGAAGGCAGTTTGGCGGAGCCTGGATGGAGAGCAGAGCCAACTCCCCGTACTCAGGCATGGCAGCATGAGACTGGGCAGGTTCCGGGGTATGCGGAGCTGCGTACTGTGCCACGAGTGGTCCGGCATAGTCCGGTACGTCCTGTGCGAGCACCCCGCACGTGTCGTGCGAAGGTGGGCATGCAGCCAGGACGGAGTGTGCCGGCTCAGAGCTCGTGGTCTCCAGTGCCTCTCCTCGGTCCCGGATATCCTGCGCCAGTGTCACGTGCTGTAATGCCAGTACGGGTACACAGCCCTGTACGTCCTGTGCTGATGCCTCACACAGAGTGTGTGAAGGTAGGCATTCAGCCAGGACGGGTTGTGGCAGCTCTTCACTCCAGGCCTCCTATCCGTCTCCACAGCCCGGCCCGGCCTGTTCCTGCTCCTCGCACCAAGCCTACGGTGCGCGTCGCCAGCCCGGCCCGGCCTGTTCCTGCTCCACGCACCAAGCTAACGGTGCGTGTCGCCAGCCTGGCCCGGCCTGTTCCTGCCACTCGCACCAAGCCTACGGTGTGCGTCGCCAGCCCGGCCCGGTCTGTTCCTGCCCCTCGCACCAAGCCTACGGTGTGCGTCGCCAGCCCGGCCCGGCCCGTTCCTGCTCCACGCACCAAGCCAGGGGTGCACATCGTCAGCCCGGTACGGCCCGTTCCGGCTCCACGCACCAAGCCAGGGGTGCGCATCGTCAGCCCGGTCCGGCCCGTTGCTGCTCCACGCACCAAGCCAGGGGTGCGCATCGTCAGCCCGGTCCGGCCCGTTCCTGCTCCACGCACCAAGCCAGGTGTGCGCATCGTCAGCCCGGTCCGGCCCGTTCCTGCTCCACGCACCAAGCCAGGGGTGCGCATCGTCAGCCCGGTCCGGCCCGTTCCGGCTCCACGCACCAAGCCAGGGGTGCGCATCGTCAGCCCGGTCCGGCCCGTTGCTGCTCCACGCACCAAGCCAGGGTTGTGCATCGTCAGCCCGGTCCGGCCCGTTCCTGCTCCACGCACCAAGCCAGGGGTGCGCATCGTCAGCCCGGTACGGCCCGTTCCGGCTCCACGCACCAAGCCAGGGGTGCGCATCGTCAGCCCGGTCCGGCCCGTAGCTGCTCCACGCACCAAGCCAGGGGTGCGCATCGTCAGCCCGGTCCGGCCCGTTCCTGCTCCACGCACCAAGCCAGGGGTGCGCATCGTCAGCCCGGTCCGGCCCGTTGCTGCTCCACGCACCAAGCCAGGGGTGCGCATCGTCAGCCCGGTCCGGCCCGTTCCGGCTCCACGCACCAAGCCAGGGGTGTGCGTCGTCAGTCCGGCACAACCCGTGCCTGGGTCACCGGTGCCTGGTCAGGTACCGGTCAGCTGCTCCACACCGGAGCTTAAGCAATCCGCTCCTACGATGTCCAGTCCAGCTCCAGCCAGCGGGGCCAGACCGGACCAGGGGCGCTACGGGGGGATTATTGGAGGGTGGTGGGCAAGCCCGGAGCCGGAACCGCCTCCGAGGAGGAATGCCCACCCAGCCCTCCCCTGTTTGGTTTATGTTGAGGCGCGGTCGCAGTCCGCGCCTTTGGGGGGGGGGGGGGTACTGTCACACCCTGGCTCTGGGGACTCTATATGTTGAGCCAGGGTGTGTAGATTCTATGTGGTTTTGTTCTATGTTCACAGTCTAGTATTGTATTTCTATGTTGGCCAGAGTGGTTCCCAATCAGAGGCAACGAGTGTCAGCTGTGGCTGGTTGTCTCTGATTGGGAGCCATATTTAGACAGGCTGTGTTCCCACAGGTGTTGTGGGATCTTGTTCCGTTTGGTTTGTTCCGTGTTGGTTGTTTAACCTAGGACGTCACGTTGTTCGTTTATTGTTTTGTTCTT